AAAATGTGCTTAATGTTTTTATAAGAATAAAAAAAAAATGCTAGTAAAAAGGCAAGCAGAAAAAGGAGCATACCTAGCCACAGGTTAGCCTACATAGAGGCGTCATTTAAATTAATTTATTTAAACTTATTTGATGTCCAAGGATTAACATGTTTGTCATCTCTGTGTACGGTATAAATCAATGTTTTTTCAGTGATCTCTGAAAGGCTCCTACAGGCCAAACTGTTTTGCTTTTTTTTCCGCTGACCTGAGCTATAATTTAGCGCACACGCGACAGGCGTATTAGCTGATGTTAAGTGTGCGTCTTCTCAGTCCCCGTCCCTCCGAACTAACAAAACCACCCTTTTGCAATCGAGGGGGGCCTCTTCAAGATTTATGGCTTTAATTTGGCAGTGAAAATGTCTGATGGTGGCAGTTACCGAGCGGGGGAGGCCCCCTGTTAGCACTTAGCTGGCTAACTGGAGTGACGGGCATCTGGCTGGGTGGCTGCCTTTTCTGGGCCGGACTGTTGTGCCCTTGGATTCCTGGGCTCCCCACTTTTTTCCCCCCTTCCTCCCATGCCCCGCGGTGACCTCACACAACTTTATTCTCCTTGAAGCGAGGCATCACGCAGGCATTTCCTGACAATTTATGTTCTGGTGCCACAAGCGGGGGCATGCCCTGCACTAAAATCCTATCCCTGGTCCATTTAGCACACGCCTCCTGGCCTCCCTGAAGACTGTTAAAGTGTTGCACCACTGTCTGTGAGGCGGAGTCATTACTTGCCAGCATAAAGCTTATTTACTACAAATCACCAATGTTTTACAGTACTGCAAAGGACTGGACGTGAATGAGTTTTTCCCTTCACTTCCAGCCTGTGATTGGACTTCATTACTTTTATTTTTCAGCACGAAGGAGGTTTTAAACAGTTCCACACGTTCACACCTGGAGGTTGCCTGGTACAATCACAGCGTGATCTATAAGCTACCGAGGGGGCCATCTGGGGAAGTTGGGGGTTAAGTGCCCAGCTTGGGGGCAACGCCAGCAGTGGCAGTGAAATGTAAACTAAAACCTGCAATGGAAAATAGAAGCGTGCTGTAATTTTAAGCAGGTTTTAAGTTGTGAAAACCTCAGGAGTGTATTTATCGTCAGCTGAACTTGTTTGAAACTGAGAACCTTCACAGACTGTTAATTTTAACGCCTTACAGAAATTAATTTAGGTCCAAAAGCACCTGGAACGAGGTTCCCACGCAGGAAAATTGATTACTTGGCCTATCTTAAGCAATGAATTATAGACCTTTTGTGGCCCACATCTGGTAAACAACCTCATAGCAAAATTGGTCTATTTCAGCTTATTTCAATTGGCCCACATACAGCAAGGAATTACAGGCCTTTGAGGACAACATGTGCTATCCAGAGAGTGGGCCAGAAAACAAACATTTTGGATCTTACAGTACATGTGGTCCACTCACTGTATGGTGATGAATTTAACCCACAATTTTGGTTACCAGATGTGGCCCAGAAATAGTATGACTCGATATGAGATATGGGCCAGAAATGATCGAAATAACAAAAGAAAAATGCGGGTCACTGGCTATCTCTTGGACTCCATGATGTGTTGGGCACAAAATTGGGCCTCAAGATTGTCAGCATGATTTGAGTTGAACCAAATATTTGGTCACCTGCCACATACTGTAGCAATTAATTACATGACTTAAGTGGCCCACATCTTATGTCTTTATCGACATTCGTTATTGTTTAAGAACTGTGTCCAAATTGTGGGCCACAAAAGCAAATAAGCAGGTATGTTTTGTGGCCAGGCATGTGGGCCATATCAAAGCTAAATATACACCAAACCTTCTGGCGGGCCAGTTTTGGTGGGGCCTAGCGGCCTGCGTTCTCCCCACCAGATGTGTCATTGGACACCATATGTGGGCCACTAAAGACAGACAATTTATTGCTGAATGAGCAGCAACTATGACGTTCTCCGGGTAACATATGACGACTGCTCCTGTACGGCCATAAAACTGTCCCACTTGGCCGCTGCAGAGGACCAATCAATGAACCGAGATCAATACGTGAAGGCGGTCCAGTGCAGATTAGCAGGCCAAGTGCGGTGCATAAAAATCATAATTAAAGTTGAGCCATAATGATGAATGTGGGAGGTAAAGACACGACAGAGGGACGGCAGTGTGTGATTAATGCAAATGAGGGACACGAGCGGGAGCGTCTGGGGTCTTCTGTCTACATCTACACCACGTGTCTTTGCTCTCCAGAGGTTAAGTGGCTGCTCTCGTCGACTAATTTAGCCATATGCTCATCTGTGCATTTGACGCTACTGCGCCATACGCCAGCGCTGCAAATCATGCCCCGCGCATATGCAGCCAATTAAAGAGGACGTCACTCAGCAGCTCTGTTTATTCAGTCCAGAGCTGTTAAGGTGGGAATACAAATGATTGTTATAAAATGTAATTATTTAAGTATTTCCCAAATGGTGTGTGTGGAGTGAGGACAATTTCTTACAGAAAAGGAGACTGGAAGCAAATCTTTCTGTCAGATGGGACTGAACTAGAAGTCTAGAATGAAGGAGCAGGGTTATAATTTCAGGAGTGGTTCTCTACCTACGGTACGGGTGCGGCTAGTTGTACTTGAGTTTTTTGTAGTGGTCTGTGGGTAAATCAGTTTTTGTTTGAATGTATTGCCACTTTTTTGTCCTACTCATTGGACAATATGTGTCATATAAATGGGCCAACAATTTTAGAAAGAAAAAAAAGTATCTTCTTTCTCTTTCATGTTGACAAATCCTTCACAATAGGTGAAGAAACTTCCCCAGAAGTATTGAGTCATTGTGTTTTAGAAAATATGTGTGTGAAGATCTTAAACTCTGTATTGAGTCATTGTGTTTTAGAAAATACGTGTGTGAAGATCTTAAACTCTTTTGAGTTGGGATGTTGTAGAACAGTGTTTCCCAATTTTTTTTTTCCGGGTTCCCATATTTTAAAAGTCACAGACCTTCACGACCCAAAGTCAAGAGACATTATTCGTAAACACCTGGGAAACATGATGCAAGATGACCCAAAAAAACTCTTGCAACCCACCTGGGGGTCGCGACCCAGTCTTTGGGAAACAATGTTGTAGGAGACTTGACTGAAACCTGGTCGTTGTAGTTGCAGTTAAACAATATAATACATTGTTTGTTTTGTTTTATGTTTTATATTTTTTGCATTCTTCATTACTGTATCCTAACAATTCCTTTTGCATAAAATCACTTGCAGAGAAAAAAAAAGTGCCATCCTCCTAATGAGGCTAATCACTCGTCCTCAACTGTACATCTTGCACAATCGCAAATGATTCTAAGGATGTTCCGACTTGAGAATGTAGCATTGGCAGCAGCTTGGCCTCTTGTCACGCTCACTTGTGCAGCACAACCATCTTTCTGCATAACCTGTTGCGTAAGCACTGTACTGGCAGGCACACGGTGTCATGTACGACCCATGTCATTTCTGCTTTTGGTTGGGGCTTATTACAGTACAAGCCGTTCCCTTAAAGTCTATTCAGTTGCTAAACCACACAAACCATCTCCTCTCTCTCTCTCTCTCTCTCTCTTTTTCTTTCTCTCTGACTTTTTTTTGTCATCTAAGAATTGGCTTCCTGTTTTCTTTGTGTTCTGTTTCTCTCTCTCTCTCTCTCCCTCTCTCTCCCTCTCTCTTTCTCTTTCTCTCCCTCTCTCTCTCTCTTTCTCTGTGGAGGTGTCGTAACCCAGGAGGCCGTGCCAAGAACAAACCAAGGTCTGGTCGGGGAGAGATCGCTCTGTGCTTGCATTGGAAAAAGACACACAAACACACGCACACATCCAGATGTTTGTGTGTGTGTGAGTGTTTGTGTGCCTGCGTCTGTTTATTGTGTGATGTGTATGGCATGTACAGTACTTGTTGCCAAGCCATAAAAAGTCATTTGTGCGAGCTTGATCTGATGTGCCCTCCAAAGGCACCCTGTGGGTGAACATGCCAGGCTCCTGTCTCTGCTTTTATTGTTCAGCAAGGTTGCACACATTTATCAAGTAGGGACGACTGTACACAGGCAGAATGTACAGGGATTTTCAGACCTTTGCCCAAGGCCTACATACCTGATCTGTTTGCATTAATACAGGGAAATCAATGCAAGTGGATGGAAGACAAAAAATGGAAACCGTGAATAATAACTCTGCAGCTGAATTAAAAGCCGGAATGTTCTGTGGTAGTCTTTCACCTGTGAACATCTGATGTAGATGAAGGTCACAATAACTGTAGCAGTGTCATTCAGTAGTTTAAAAAAATGCTCTTGAAATTGATAAGACACTGGCTGTAATGTCCCTGTACTTTATTTGTAAATATAATCCAGACATATAATCCAGTATTAGAATTAATATTTAGTTAAATGCAAACTTAACTTAAATCAAGCAAACAATTAAAAAAGAAAACGAATAATTAGTCCAAAAATGTTAACAGTAAAATTTAGCACAAAACAGCTTAAAGATAGCAATAGCAAGCTAAATTAGGAATCTGAAATAACAACAATGACATATAAATATGAAATCTAAAAAAACAACTCAAAATTAAACAAAACATTGAAAGAAAATCTACAAATTGTTGGCTAGTATTACTTACAAATATCAGTTAGCCTAAAGTAGCTGACAGTCTATAAACTGATTGGCCAATAATAAGCTAACAGGAGAACTGATTGGCCAATAATAAGCTAACAGAAGAAGAAAATGGTAAAAAAAAAAAAATGCTGGGAGTTCATCACTAAAATGGTGGGTGACATGTCGCCCTAAAATTATGAAAAAAAAAAAAAATACAAATTAGTTGAAAAATAGTCACAAATAGGCCCAAAATACAAGTTCATCAATGGCTATGAATGTATTGTAGTTTACCAGTACGTGAAGTACTGAAAATACTTGGAAACTGAGTACAAACACCGTTTCCACTGATCCGTTGTGTTCTCTGGTTTGTAATGTTTCTGTCTCTGCTGTTGTTTTCCAGCTGGTGAGAAGGCCATCGTTTGTGACCAGTGTGGCGCCCAGTTCCAGACAGAGGAATCCCTAGAGGCTCACCGACAGATCCATACCGGTACGAGCAAACACACACACACACACACACACACACACACACACATACACACACACCCACACACCTACAGGCAGAAGCTGTCTGAAGTCTCACCATGACATTCTGGACATAAACAACCAGATTATGAGCTCCTCTGCTGCAGCAGCAGCAGCAGCGTCTCTGTTCTGAGTGAACTGCTACAGATTTGCTTCTCCCATGTGAATATTGTTGGGAGAAAAAGGTGTCGATTCTGCAGAAGGGCCAATTGTGATCAGATTGAATTTAAACCAGGATGAAAATGACATGGCAGTGCAATCATCATCCACAACTCATGCATGCACGTTTTGGTGTGTGTGTTTGTGAGACGCGCGTGTGTGTGTGTGAGAGAGACGCGTCCAGATCATGTTCACCCCCTCTCACTCCTCAGCCTCCTCTTGTATAACTGACACATGGACAGATAACATCGTCTTGGATTAGTCTCACTTGCCCTAAATCAAGACAGACCCAGCAGTAATCAACGAGCCCGGGAAGAACTTGGCAGGCTCGCGTTGTTTATCAGTACTCAGCTATGAAGATGGGAGGACGAGGGTGATGTTGGATGCCAAGATGTAAATAGGAAGAAGTAAATACCCCTTCAACAGATGTGTGATGGCTCAAAACAGCTCCAGCGCTGGTGATGAAACCTTTAATTTGGGGGGAAAAAAAAGAATGTCAAACTTAGCCCGAATCACTCTGTGAGCTGTTCTGCTCACAGTGTAAGCGTTTGTTGCGTTTGTTTTTATTGTAGTTTCTCTTCCACTCATAAATAGCTAAGGTTAGCCAAGACGACGGCTGTAATTTAGTCCAGAAATCAAGACCAGAATTTGATGAACATCATGGAAATGTAGCTGAACGTTAGTCACAAATGTTAGGCAGAAAACAACAACATGTTTCTCCCGTTCCCTATAATTTATTGTAGACAACGTTATAGATACTATAAGTGGAAAAAAAACATATTAGCAATTAGTAAGGTAGAAATTGGTCATTTATACAATCACATCGGCAAAAAGAAGATAAAATATTTTACCCAGAAATAGATAAAAGTTAGCCAAAAAAATAGCCTTTAAATTATCCAACACTAACCCAGAAAATTAGATATTTGTTTCAAAGGTAATTATACATATATTTGGCTAACATTGCTCAGGCATAGCATTAACTAATCTCTCAATAACTTTTAGGATTTTCCCAGTCAAATGAAAGCTTTCTCCTTTCTCTAACTTTTGGCTATTTTTACTTTTTTGTGTTTGATTTACAGATTTGCTCATTTCTGGCTAACATTTGTATTCATTATAGACTAATATCAGTACCACCATGTTTAACTGTCCGTGTCTAAGAATAATGATGTAGCTAATGCACACAGAACCAGGACCTGACCCTTAAAATAACAATTCACCACAAACATCATCATCATCATCAGCAGCAGCGTTCTGTGTTTTGACCTTCATCTAAAACTCTGACCCTCGGGCTATACCAGCATCAGCTCTCGCTGCGTTGCGGCTCCTCATATCCCCCACATTCCTCCGAAAACATTTGAGAAGAGAAGATTGCGGTGTGTGGTGGTGGTGGTGGTGGGGGGGGTCAGTGGTGTCAGGGTTTTTTGAGGGGTTTACTCCTTAGGGGCATGCCCTCAGCCAATCAGCTCACCAGAGGTAAAGAAGGGTTAAATGAGGCTAATGATCCGGCAGCCATAACAGCGGAAAGGAGCGCTCTAAATATAGAGCGTTCTAGTCTGGAACAAATGGAAAGGGGAGCGAGGTAGTAGAGAGTACGATGGGAGGGGGGCAGCAGTAGTCGAGGCCAGACGTGTCTTCCTGCCAGACAACTGGAGCAGCAGCAGCAGCAGTGGTAATAATAGTATAGTAATCATCCGTGTGTTTGGTTGCTGTGAGGCATCAGGACTGGACTCTGGTAGAAATACAGTATGACGAGGCAGATTCACTGCAGTGTGGTGACGCAGAGAGAGACATCATGTTTGGATAGCAACATGTGATGAATCCTGACTTAACATATAGACTCAACATCCTGACAGTGGCCTCATGCATTTAGTGCCTGACCACTAACACATAACAGAAACACCCTGATTATTTTTTTTAATTATTTTTTTTAACTTTGTATTCATAGCTTTTAGCGCCTCTAACTGGTTACCAAGTACAACAACCCTTTAAATCAGGGGTGTCAAACTCACTTTGGTTCAGGGACCACGTAAAGCCTGATTAGATGTCAAGTGGGCCGGACCAGTACAATCGTAACATAATTACTTCTAAATAACAAAGAGTCCATGTGATTCCCTCTTAGTTTCCTTGCAAAGAAGAAGATAAGAAAATATTCATATTAAATGAAATATAATTTTTTTGTTTGTGTCTGTGAATTTCTTTTAATTTTAAAATGTATCAAGCAGGCCATATTAAACCCCATAGTGGGTCGGGTTTGGCCCGCGGGCCTTATGTTTGACACCCCTGCTTTAAATCTTAAGGCCAGCTTGAATCAATATTTATCAAATCAATACAGGCAAAAGATATCTTTCAACTTTTTACTTACTATTTATATATTTTATTCACAGTGTCTCCTGCGGTTATTTTTCTCTTTCTCAAGACTTTCCTGTAGGAAATGTTTACCCTTTAAAAAAAAAAAAAAAGTTGACTCGGGGTAAGAAAGTGTTTATATTGCATCTGGAGGAGTAAGAGTTGCAGGAGCAGTAGCTCACAGGAGGAGCGAATACTGTTTTTAGGTAGAAACATTTAAGTAAAACTTTTATTTAGAAGTGTTCAGTTCTGCCGGTCTGCAGCTGTAGCCCTGCCATTTACTGCTTTTATATAAGTATTAAACATTCTGGTGGAAAAAAAGTATATTATATAATTTTGTGTAACTCTCTCTGTAACTGACAGATCTTTTCTCACGTCTCAAATATGTTTTTTTATTATTATTATTATGTTTATTCCCATTCAGAGGTGGGACTTTATTAGCACACAGATCTCTCCTGTCAGACGATGGCTGCTCTGTTTCCATCAGATAATGACTGATGACATGAGGGTTACCCAAGTAAACAAACAAGTTCCTTCCTTCCTCTTGATCTTAGTCTAACTTTGTGGACATTTATTATGAAGTTGTGGTTTGTTTTGTTTTTTTGGTCAGTTTGTTTACACTTTACAAAGATGCGGCTGCACGTGACATATAAATATGATTTTTTTTTTGCACTCGTTTGCTCTATAAGACATCGGCAAAAGTTTTTTAAGTACTCGGTCTCCTAGAGGAAATAAAAGTGGGTATACTTCATGGTCCGGAGAAGATTAAACATAACCATTACCATTCCCTTTACATCCTTGCCTCATTCACTTTTAGCCCTTAAGCTCTGAGAATTATGATGCAATCTGCCTCATACTGCTGCCTCAGTGTGTGTAAGTGTGTGTGAGTGTGTGTGTCTGCATACGTATAACTTAGTTTTAGGGACTTCTTTTTAACATTATGTTCAGCACTGGAACATCGTGTGAGGACCTTCTTACTCTTTTACTAATTATTTTTTCTTCTGAAGATCTGAACATAAGGAAATATTCTTTTGAAAACTTTTGGTCACATTTGTGCCACAAAAGCTCAATGGCACCCCCTGGAGAGAAGCTTTGAGCTTCATACTGTTTCCAACCTCGGAGGTTTGAGGAGCCTTAACGTAAATTAACTTATAAAATTCATAGCTCCTCCAATAGGCCACTGAATGCCATATTATACTGAGCAAAGTAAATTCTTTGGGAGTTCACAGCTGCAATTAAGTTCCACATTTTCTTAGTATAGCGCCACCTACTGGCAATAATATTTTAAGAAAAGTTTTTCATTTGCCTCAAAGAATATCTCTCAAGAATATTTTTAATGAAAATGGAAGTTGTATTTTTTTCACCTTACATTTTCAATAATAAATATTGTATTTTTTTAAGTCTTTGTTAAAAAAAAAAGCCAGAGACAAACACTGTTAGATCATAAAATATCTTCTTGTGTGGCATCCTTCTGGGCCTGCTAGCTAGGCTGTACTTTATTCTCTGTGTTTAAGATATGAATTTATTTTATGTACCTTGCAGTGTAAATAAAACCAGGGGCAGAGACACAACGGGGGAAGAAAGCACAAATACAACTGTGGCTTCTCTGCACAATGCTGTCTGTTCTAAAGATTAACAAACAGGGATTTATTTACGTAGAAATGTCTGTGTGTACAGTACCGAAGACACAGAACATCAAAGTGGGCGTGCGGTTGGAGCAGGAGGGTTACTGTTGGTCATCGGAGCCAGATTTGATCTCCGCCTGCCTCTTGGCAGCAGTTCAGCCCTTGGCTAATGTTCTCTGACAATATTTGGCCTTTGAGAGCGAGCCTGCCTCTCGCTGATTTGAATAGGAACTATTGTGGCATTTCCTTTGTTGGCCTGATCAGCTGGGGTCTGACTCAACCTCTCTTTCCCACTTCTAGCAAGACTTGTCCAATGCCTGCCGTATAACACCCTCATGGCACTCCTCTTTCGGAGAGGCTTCTTCTGCAAATTTGCGGTGATGACTGGTCGGAATGCCAGGAAAGCTAATGGCAAAAACAACATGTGGTCATGACAATGGATCCAAATTATTCTTTACTTTCCAAGACTCGTTGTTTTGCAACAGAGTCACACTTGAATAAATCCAGGAATGGCTGCTCTCAGGAGCCTCACTCACTTGTGATTTGCATTACTCTACTGCACTCTACTCGTGGCTAATTCCTGTCACATATTTTCCCAAAATTGGATGGCACTGCATCAGAGCCTCTCTCCCGCTCCCTTCTAAATTGGGACTGGCCTCAGGCTTTTTGTAAGCAAAGAACACAGTCGGTCTTGATTTCATGGAGCTCTCATCCTTAAAGAAAAACACTGTTGTCATGTAGAGATGTGGCCCATTTACTACTGTCTCCGCCAATAGTTATGCAGGCCTTCAGTCATTTCTTTCAAACATTAACTCGCCTAGTGAGTTAGCCTGTA